TTTCCAAAAAAAAAAACAAACCACCCCCACGGCAGCAGACAGTGGAAAAAAAAAAAAATATATATATATATATATATATATGTATATATATATGATTTCAAGTGACACAACTACGGGTTGTGAAAGGGCAGGATAAACTTCATCCAGACAGTGGTCTGACAGAGGTGGATACTGCAGCTGGTTCAAGTGAACCAATGGTGGCAGAAGAAGGAGGCGGGCCACAGACAATCACTGTTTGGATGAAGAAAGAAGGCATCAAAGATTTCAACAGGTTCATGGAGACATCAGACTGATGGGTGTGGAGCAGACCTGCTGTGACCACAGGTATGACAGGACAGACCCACAGTGGAAATCCATCCAATTACACAACAGCCTGTGTAAACACTAATACATGTCACGAAAATAAAGTCATATACATGCAACTTTATTCTCATTCATTAAGACGAAGTTCATGTTACGCAGCATTTGTAATTATCTTTTGGGCGTACTGACAAGGCAGCTAGCTTATTCTGACAGCCTGCCCCCAAAGGTTTGATTTACATGGGCTGGACTGCATTTTCCAACAAGAGGAATGAGAAGAAAACCCATGTTAAGGTGGACGGTGTGATTGCTGGATTGCTCCTTTAAAGGAGTGAAAGTTTTATTGAGTGAACGGGACCGGAGGTCAAATGTAACCAACAGAACAACAATCAAACATAGGAGACAGTTAAAGTTATTATATTAACATTACCATTTGTTTCTGTTGGACATACTCTATATTGAACTGAATGGTTTTCTCATAACTACACGAGCGGCTCTGCCATTTGCTGCTGGGATAAACAATAAAAAGAGATAAAGGAATAATTTTCTTTTTCTTCAATCGGGGAATAAAGGAGACAAGGTGAACAATAAAGATGATGAGGGTCTTACTTGGTGCCCATAACCTCCACGTAGTCTTTGTGGCACTCACGGATGTCAACCCCTGGCTCTTTCATGCGGAACATTGTAAACTTCAGACGCACTTTTTTCCCAGCAGGCACCTGTGGTACAGAGGCAGAGGTGACTGGTTCATAAGGTCCTTGTTTACAATACACGAAAAAAGAGGCACAGACAAAAGTGAGTTGAATGTATTTCATGTTAATGCAGTTATACGGGCAACACACCATAAAAGGTTTCTGCTGCACAGCCATAAAGGTGCAGGTGCACACACACACACACACACCAGCAAACAAAACCAACACACAAGATACTGCAGCTCTGCCAGAGTTGCGGCAGAAACGGTGCCCTGACAGATGAAGATAGAGGAGGTACTGAACAGCTTGGCTTCTAAAGTGCTGGCTCAGCGTTCCTCCCATGGCAAGCTAAGGATGATGGAGGAGGAGGAGGAGGAGGAGGTAGTGGAGGGGGAGGAAGTGGTGTAGCAGGAGGAAGAGAAGACGGGGAGCAGTGTTGCAAACCTTGATGCTCCACTTGCAGTCAACGGCAGGAGGATAGAAGCTGGGGTAAAGTGGGGAAGTTATTACTCCTTCTGTGGCAATAAGGACACCGCCGCAGGTTTTCACTGTGAGACGTGTGAGGGGGGGAAAAAATGTCAAATAGTCACATTCAAGTACATTATAGCTTACATTGGAATGTAGCACTCCAAACTCTAGAGATATTGTAGCTGGAAATTACCCATGGAAGAAGGAATGGCTTTGTACACTGCCTGAAAGCCGGGCCTCTGGACATCAGTGTCTGTGATCAGGTTGATGAGGATGATGTTGCCTGACGACACCACCTCTAAAGGGTTGGAGGGAGGCCTCTGACCACACTTGCTGTGAGTGAATCAACAACATGCACAGATAAAGTACCACCACAGGTGCAAAGTCAAGATGTTTCTTTGTCTTATTTAACAGAAACAATAGATACATTTTTTAAAATGTTTTCAACATGTTGACAAACTATTTTCTATTTTTTTAATCAAATTAAGGAATGAATGAATATCACACATTAAAAAAAACTGGAACAGATGTGAAGACTGAAAGTTAACATATTAAAAAAACTGGAACAGAGGTGAAGACTGAAAAGGTCACAGTACAGTGTGAGGTTCTTCATTAGGTATGAACTGATGGCAGTGACTCGCAATCTATGGTGCGTGTGCCATTGGTGGTACAGAGGCTGCGGCTAGTGGCTGCCAAATTCACGGAAACAAAACTAAAACCTAATTTCACCACTGATGATAAAAACAATGTTTCTAATCGTAATACATAAATGGTCTGAAGATATTGTGAGAATTTTCTGAAAGTTAACACAAATCTTTCTGCTTTAAGGCTAAGGCAGTGTACATACAATACATTCAAGCTCTTGGGTTGTAACAGGAAAACAACAATGCTACTGTGATGGAAATGACAACGATTTAACAGCTGGTTCTGCATTACCCTGGAAAAGTAATGAAGTAAAAAAAGTAATGATGATTTCTGCAAAAGTATGGTCTTGTAAAGCAGGGAACCAACATAAAGTTTAAAGTCTTCTGGTCAATTTTGTCCACAAGCTGTACCTATGTTTTTAGGAATTATATTTCTAGTAAATATGTAATAATATGTACAGTTCCTTATTAGGTGCCAGGAATTCAGGACTTCAAATATAAATGCACTTTATTTAAGCCAGAGCCACTCAGACACCATTCCAGAAAACAAATTTAAAATGCTCGGAAAATAATTAAGAAAAAAAAAAATCAATAGAAATGCAGAGAGAGGCAGAGGAAGAAATAAATAAAATGAGATGTGTCAGCGATGGACAGAAATTGCCAAGGCGGCGCTTCAAAGTCAAACATTAAAATATTAGTGAGGAGTTTCAGCCCTGCTGGGGGGCAGAGCCACGGAGGTGTGAATGACACTGCAAGAGCAGCAATACATCCACCTGAATAATGTCATTATAGACTATTACATTATGGCTCACATAAACCCTATGTCACCTTGGATAAAACTGATCGCTCAATAGCATTATAAAAATTGTACGCATCACTGGTGAGCCATATTTGTTTAGCAATGATTCCTGGGTTCAAACAAATGTCTGTGGCTGTACACCATGTTGCAATGGGTTTTTGTTTCTTCCAAATAGTGAGTTAAATTGCACGCAGTGTTGTAGCAGCATTCAGGTTTTCACCCTGCGCAGATTTAATAGGAGAGGTGTTTTTGAGCCAACTCAATCTCACTGAGGTCTCAAAAGTTACCAATAAAATGGGACGTGTAGCACTGGAGGCTTCAGAGCCAAAGAGGAAAAAGAAAAAAAGTCCCAATCAGAAATGCAGTGAAGGGAATGAAGTGAAACACGTTTTCCACCTACATCAAAACTGCTTTTATTCCTAAATCCCTCTGCAGCTTTTCTGTCAAACACAAAGTGAGTCCTAGCAGTCGTTCCCCTGGGAATCATGTCGAGCTTTATTTCCCCTCTCTGATCTTGAAGGTTTAATAAATGAGACAAACGTTGGTTGAGCCCGATCTAAACCGAGGTTTGAGGTGTGACAAAATTCTGAGTTGCGTCAAATCTAAAAAAGATGATTCATTTTAGTGTTGTTAAAATAAAAACTCCCCCTTGGGGAGACGTCTGCGCACTTACTTTGTGATTGCCTGAGATTCGTCTGGGCTCAAGGAGTCATAGATGAAGACAAAGTCATCAGAGCAGTCATCCTCGATGTGGAAGAAAGGGAAACTGACAGATATGGCCATGTCCTCTGAGGCGCGAATTTGCCACTGACACCTAGACTTGGGTGGGTAGCCATGAGGGTATCCCGGAGATGAAAATTCTTGCCCATTTTCTGTAGCCTCCAGGCGGAAGAAGCAGTCCCCTATAAATGACAACACTGGTTATAAAGGCATATACAGAGAGATGGGAGGAGGTAATAAAAGTTTATAACTGTTAAATTAAAATCTGCTCAGGATCCTGAAATTGTGCCCCTGTTGACGTTGCAATAAAATAATCTGATTTGAACAATTGAAATGAAGTGTACAGATGTAGGTGAGAGGGAGGTAACTGATAAGGACACCACACCTGCTATGGAAATGTAATGAAATACAGCCTAATTCACCGCAGGCTCTAAATCAGCAGACAGTGACAAAAAAAAAAAGTGCTGGGCACGGTGAGTGATTCACTCTGGCCTGATACATGGCTGGTTCTCAATCTCTCCACTACAGCAGCACATGTACAGTACAGGCCAGGAGAGCCATCCGTTACAGACTGGCAGGAGGGTGAGCATCTAGCCAGCTGGAAAATTACAGCTGCAAGTGATTGAAATGGGACACGCTGTACTCACTGGCTGTGGGGCTCCTGGCCATTCGAGGATCTGTGACTGGAGACAGAGAGAGAAGGAGAGGGCGGGGGGGGGAGGGGGGGAGAGGAGGAAAGGTAAGAATGGGTCAGTAAAGTTGGGCGGATGGTAGAATTTGATGTATGAGCCTAAAATATTTGGGTTGCACATTTTCTGTTCCATTTCACTTCGGTTAAGGGAACCGGTGATGGTGTGTAGCTCTTTCTGCTCCATCTCACCTTGCCCTACAGCAGCAACCCATACATCTCTGTCTAACTATCTGGGGCAGCAACATCAAATCATACCAACAGAAATCATTTTAAGAGGACCAAAACTACTGAGTCACAGGGCCTGGGCCTGGCTGGTGGCCAGGATGTGGACAAATGCAATGTGAATACTGGGAAGACAGAGGGAAGAAAAATGGCTGTCTCAAGTCAGGGCCAAGACCCAGCTAATATCATTAGAGGATCAAAACAGCATAAAATGTGCAATCTCAGATGCAGTACAAGGCAGGAGGCCTGGCTTATCTATTATCACCCTATCAGCACAAATCAGACGGCGCTCCCATAGTTCAAATTGACAGGACACAGAATACTAATGCTGATGGGAGATGACAGTGACCTTATTCGGATCGGCGTCCTCGTCACTCTGTCTTCAGAGACGGTTAAAATGACAGAAAAGGAAGCTAAGTCCAGTGAGCAGCCAACACGGAACTCCCTGATCCTTACGTGACGTGGTGACTTCAGTGATGTGAATGGATGAAAACCGCTGCGCCTTGAGTCCACTCTCCAGTACCTCCAACACCCGCTCTTCAGAGAACTCAGGCAGGACGTCCAAGTCTTCCGGTGGAATGTCGAACTGGGACCAGTAGTAGGCTATCACACCCTCGCTAGTGGGAAATTGGGATGAAATGGAACAGAACTATTGTTATTAGTCTTGAACATTATTAGTACAGCGCTTCACACTTCACTTCAGTCATACTGTAGAGTAGGTCACAAGTCAACAGAGCACATCAAAGCTTAATTACGCTGCTGCTGAAATATGTAACACTGGTGAACCGTTCACGCCTCACAGGTCAATGGAACAAAGCTTTGGCTTCATGCAAGATTCAGTGCCATGTCTCTCTCCGCCTTCCAGTAGACTGCATGACTGCTGGGCAGTGTAGAATAATTAAGATGCTCAATATCTCAATACCTGAATGCAGTGACCACCGACTTGGTGTAGAACTCTTTAAGCAGCTCATCTTTCATGTAGTTGTCTTTGAGCTGTGGAGAGAAAGGTGAAATTTTACTAAGCGGGAGCGGGTTTCTTTACGCGTACTAAATATGATATGATAGTATTCTCTGTATGAGATACAAATATGTGGTTTGGAAAGAAGCATATCATACAGGGAGTCTACATTCAGAATAAGAAAGACAGAAAGAAAGAGTTTGTGTCTGTAAAGAGGACAATTAAATACTATTCCACTAGGTGTCAGCACATGGCAATTAAAACTACAAAAAGAGACTCAGATTGGTTGAAGAAAATCTTTGTATATCTTTCTTCAATTCCTGCAAGTTTTTCAGGATTGTGTTCAACTAAACGTGTGTGTAAAGTGTGAGTTAATTAAAACCAGAATTCTTTTTCATACACCACAAGACTGTCTTCCTGACAATCTTAAATGAGCTTTAGCCCAGACGACTATTTTTGAACACAATTTCCAGACGACATCCAATTCGCACAATGTTGTAAATAACCAAAGTTTTAAAAAGTTTTATTTCGTTGCATTTCACAAAAATATGCGAATGTTTGTGAAAATGTTTTTTAACTGGGATACAGAGAAACCACACAGACAGGATGGTGCTTGAGAGGGAGTGTGAAGTTGCCGAGCTGGTTAGTGGTTCAACAGGATCCAGCATCGGTGTATTAAAACATTTACCACTTGTCTGTAAACATCACTGTTTATCAGGATAACTTGTCCCTTCAGTTGTGTGTGAGTCCGACTGTAGTACATAATAAATCTCTCTCCTCAATCTTTGTGTCACCTTACAATTCAATCTCCCCACTTTCACTTTAATTCTGCAGCTTTTCACCGAGAGAGAGTGTGTTAGATGATTTCAGAGTAAAGAATTTTTGTTATCATCAAGCTCCTAAGTGGTACTGCACACATCTCCACTGTCTCCAGTAATAGCAGATGTTCTGCAGGGAATTACTTGGGGAACGTACAGCCTTTTATTCCACCCACGCAAATGTGCTCTCAGCAGTTCCTGAGCACTGTGAGGGGCACATTTAAAAGCATTTCCACAACAAACAAAATCCACACTTAATCCTGCAATGAGTCTAATATTTCACTGAATATTATTAACAATATACATGAGAACAGAAAGAGAGATATGAAAGAAGGCTTTTTTATTTCCAAGGTTAAACTCACAATTTCCTGTATTGTGCTTGCCAAATCCTTGAATTCCTTGCTCTCTGTGTCCTCCAGGTTTTGGTCATAAGATACACCGGCCAACTTTAAGTGTCCACTGAAGACCTGCGATTGTGGACCTCTCTGTGCACTTAGGGTGGCTTCTGAATCAGCATCTTTAACTGAGAGGAGAGAAGGAAGATGAGGGTCAAGTGTTTGATCAACCAAATACTGTAAGATGGCTAGCTCTGATGAAAGCAGAGGCTCGGAGTTTGAAATAAGCCTTGAAGCACTATATTAAAACTGTATAATGTGATCTTATACCGAGACGACAGTTTGACTGTCGGAAGAATTAAAATGAGTTCAATGGAAAGGCTGTTTATCAAGACTTCAGAGACCTTTTTTTATCAAACTCTGTATGTGTAAATGACAGTTGCTGTGCTGTGGAATCTGTTGCATTATTAAAAGGAGAGTCAGAGATGTCTGAAACCTAACACTAATAAAAAAAAAAAAAACACGGTCAGATCAAATAACTCTCAAAAACATCAAAAAACTACGTTCTTGCAGTGAGATATGGGAACTCAGAGCTCATCCAAAGAGCAACACTCAGGATCGGTATCAGTCCGATACGGATGAGAATTTCTGGATCCAGATCTCGAAAACCCCGTCCAATCTGATACCTGAGCCCAAATGTTCAACTTAACTTTGCATGACAAGTTGTGAACATGGACTCTATCGCCTCAGCGACTGCAGACTGCAGGTGTGATGGAATGATCGGTACTGGCAGAAGATGCAGTATCGGTAGGTGTGATGGAATGATTGGTACTGGCAGAAGATGCAGTATCGGTATCAATAATGAAGACGTTCTTTTGTTCAACTATGTTTAAAACTATTGATGAACTCACAGACAAACAGCCAGATGAGGAACGCCGCAACGGCTGCAAGGACCAGAAATGCCAGAAGGACGCCCACGAGCAGGCCTGTCTTCCGTTTCGATACCTTCTCTTTGTTGCTTAAGAAGTCGATTCGCTCATGGTGACCATTATGGCCCTGCTTGGAAAAAAAAGAACAAAACTAAGTCAACATACACACACAGGGTGTTTATTTATTTTTTAATTAAAGAAAGTTGAAAAAACCTAATCAAACAAAACCAAACACACACTGACAATTATCACAGCTGTCAGAGACGGATGAAGGACGCCACTTGACAAAGGTGTATTGGCGACAATTATCACACAGCTGTCAGAGACGGATGAAGGACGTGTTTCAAAGTTGACATATTTTACTTTTCAAGTAAATTGTTGTACCTGTTACTTGTATTTTAAGTAACATTTCTGACTTTGTTTTTAACATTTGGCTAGTTCTATAATATTAGTGAAATGACTCAAATGTGTTACCACCCAAACTAGGTGAATTGCATTTGATTACAAATTAATTTACAACAAACAATGTACTTTATAAACACTTGGAGTCCCACATACTCAGCTGTGTACAGTATAAACATGTAATGATTTTTATTTCCACGATATTCAGGAGGATAATGACACACACTGGTTAGAAACGTGGAACGCCTTGTAGTAGTTATTTCAAAGAGGACGTGTTCAAACAAGCAGAATGTAAACGTCTGCGAAACAAACCAAACCTGTTCAGTAAACGTGACCCAGCTGCCTTCAGAAGTTGCATAACAACTAAGACAACTTGTAAGACCGTGGACACAGCGCTTCAGACAGTGTGTGTCTCCAAGTGTGTGTGGGTTGTCGATACTCTCTGCATGCCTGTTGTTGAGCTCTCCGAAGTGGGAGGACAGAGATAAAGGTTCTAGACCTCTTAGCAATCAACGCACAATGAATTTGGTGCTTGCAGCCCATGAGTGAGGAAGCCTGAGTGCCATTAGGGATGAAGAATCACTTTGGTATTAAATCAATTTGTCAGACGTGCTGCCCCTTAAGATGGGAGCTCAATTACATCAGTCCAGATGATAACTCATGGCAATTAAGGCCCATTCTTACCCAGGCCGGGCTTCTACACATGCTGTCTAATTGGAATCTCAAACAGCAATCATGGGCCAAGATGAGGGGAATCATTAGAGAGGGGGTCAGCGAGTGCTCCGGGGTCTCTCTTTATCAGTCAGCCTGATCACAGCTTAATAAAACCATTACATGCTCTTCATCATATACCATTCTTCACCACCGGAAAGGAATTTCTATCACTTTTCTGAAATGGCGCAGTGTCCTTAAACCGGACCATTTTTTAGACCTAAATATAAATGTTAATAACGTTTCTGTTCTTCTTCCCCTCAACATCAGACTCATACTACTGATGCACTCAGGCCTACATTTTGGTAAACTCAGCAGTGCTGTTGAGCCTCGAAATAAGAGTGTCAGTTGGTTTTGAAGCAGTATAACCAGTCTAGAAAACAATGCCGACACTGCACTGAGGTGTGGTTCCTGCAGGAAAAAAAAACAAGTTAAAACTCATCCACAACAGGGAGCAACTGAGGGATTTCAGCAATAGTCCTTGTGATTTCTAATAATTTTGTTTGCACGGGTTGTTTGAGTCATAGAGCAGAGAGTTTCAATAGATACAAATGAAGAATGAGTGATCATACAAGTAGGGTCTTTTTGACCTTGACACCACCTTCACAGTTTACAATCTGCTGCAGAAACTTCATACAACTTCCATCACACTGTAAGTCAATACTAGTTGCTTCACACGAATGAGGAAAGACAAAATAAAATCCAGGTGAAAAACACTGAATGAATAAAATATCTCGAACAATAAAGTCCATTTGTTTTAAGCAGACTAAATTGGAAAAATCGTGTAGGTCCTTTGACAAATGGTAAAAATACCTGGAGCAACTGATATTTTTTGATCCTGAAAGGTTGAGTGTACAGAATTTGAGGAGGTTCTATGAAGGCAGTTTGAAGGCCATGGGCAATGAGTTGAATTCACTGGCATTTCATTTTTATTTTATATCGATCTTAACACAGACAAAGACTTTTATGAAACGGTATATTATGGTTTACAGATTCAACGATTGCGTCTCATAGTCATAGTCAGCTTTAGCTTTGTTTTGGCCAACTTTAAGGTTTTTTCTTCCAAAAACTTATTTCTAACATTAAGCAACTTCTTGTACAATTTTGACTTGGATTTTTGACTGTTTATCTTTGTTTAGCATTCTCTGGCTAACTTGTAGATGTTATTACAATCATCTGTTATTTAACAATTATACTTTGAATAACTACGCTTTGTTTTCACCATATTAGCCAGTCCTAGCTATCTTTAATTATTATCACAATTACTGGTATAGCCTAGCTGGACATTTTTAAAACACATCATTTGACCCTTTAAGGCAATTTCAGATATTTTAAAGTGGGGGGTGTCACACATATCACATATTAATTTAATATATTGTCACAAAAAGGTCAAGGCAATTCTGCAGTCTTCAACACTGGAAAGAAAAAACTAAAAAAAAAAAGAAAACTCCTATGGTGTTTCTTTGGCCTGACCAACATTAAACAGTTCCTTCCAAACAGACCGGCCTCCAGACCAGAAAACCTAATGCAATATGACAGCAAATCAACTCAATTTAGGCTTCAGTGGTTTTATATTTACTTTCAGTAAACAAACACCCACACACATCTCTTACCTGGCAGTCGCCCTAAGCAGACACTGCTCAGTTTTTTTTTTATAAGCCACTGCAGCCTCAGCATGGAAGCTGTATATGAGGAAGAGTACAGTGCTACAGCCGTAAGCCGTGAGACACTTTTCATCCTTGCTGTTTGGAGAAGAGCTATGAGCAAAAAAGGTGGGAGAGAATAAGTCAACAAATCAACTCCTACTGCATCTGGCGCACTCAAAAAGAAAAGGAAAAAAAGCAGCTTCTCTTCCATAGGGAACAATTATTGTTTCTGTGGCAGTAGGGCCGCAGGTGAAGCAGAAGGCAAACAAAAGCCGCAGTAAAGGTTAAACTAGTTGAGCTTGTCGCATTACACTTTTGTTAATGTCCTGAGAATCCAACATTTCCAGGAATCAACACAAAGGACGTGACGTGAGCTTGTGTCTTTCAACACATCCATCCCTGAAACGTTGTGACGTCAGCGCCACGTTCACTTTACATCTTTCAACACATCCATCCCTGAAACGTGGGCCGGCGTAGCACCAAGCCCAGGCAGCACAGCCTTGTCTGAGAGAAGAATCAGTGACTTCCCTGCAGACTTACAACATTAATCACACTGTTCCCATTTGATACAGTAGACTGACCTCATTGTCTGAGTGTAATTGAATATTAACCAACAAAAGCAGCAGTTTCAACAGTTTCTTGTCAAACCAAAAAAGCAAACTGAAGTATACAAAGTAGCTATTATTTCAGGCAAAAATAAATTATTAAATTAGAAAGAGACCCAACACAGACGCCGTTTTTATTAATTGATTTTCTAATGTTCTTTTGTAAGTGAGTCAATGATGGATAGGTTTTGTTCCACAAGGCTGAACCAGTTATTCAATAATTTAGATAAATGTTTTTTCCCTCCAACAACATCTGACCGAGACAAGGAACCGTTATTTGATTTTTTACATCTGCTAATATTTTGCCAGTTTATTTTTAAAATGTCAAACATATTCTGAAGAATAACGTTTAAAGAAAACATAAACAAAAACTAACTTTTTTAAAATTATTGCCTCATTTGTCAATGTCACTCTATATCTGGTCTACTCAAGTTGCGGCCCGTGGGCCACATGCTGCCCGGACATAATCTAAGAGTGGACCAGTTGGTGCTCACTTCAGTAACAGTAGTAAGAGTTTTGTTAACACATTCATATATAGATTTTGTAGTTGCCGGCAGTTTATTAACCACAACAAAAGATTGTTATGTTACTGTAGTCTGAGGCAGGGCTCCTCAAGCCCCGGTCCAGGGACCGGTGCCGGTCCATATGTCATTGGGTATCAGGGCGTAGTGAGACAGTTTACTAATTTACTTCATTCAGAAAGAATCCAGTCATATACATTTACATTTCATTAAAAGTTAATCTGTTAATCTAAAAGATGTTTTAATTTAAAAAAATTAAAAATCCTCCAATGATATCGCAGTATTACCACTCTGCACCCCATTATGGCACCCCAACTACAAATCACAAGTACGCAAAGATGTTTTTGAACAAGTCAGGCTCCAACCTGTTACAACCTTTGACTAAAAACTAATGTGTCAACTATCTCGTGCCACACCTTGAATTGGGAAGTCAGAGACGATGAGTCGTCCGGTGAGTTCCTGAACAAAACAGATGATTCCTAAAAAGCAGGAGTGGGTGTTGGAACAGTTTCAGTGTGACCAATAAAAAGCTGTTCCTTATTTAAAAGTTCCTTATTTAAATTAAAGGACTTTGGTTTTCAACACAGTTCTGATCTACATCCACCCACCCTTATTTAAATTAAAGGACACAACACAGTTCTGATCTACATCCACCCACTGATTTACATTTTCAAGTATTTTTCCCACTATTTAATAAGGAAATTAAGAAATCACTCCAGCAAAAACAGAACTTATAAATGCATGCATAAATAAATTCTACGCCTCTTTCTGTTTGGAGCGGCTCAGATCATCTTGACTTAATACCTCAGCAGATCTAGATCAAAGGCTGAAACACTCAAAAAAATAGGTCACATACAGCTTTAATGGATTACATGATATACACAGAAACTTAACTTGAAAAACAGCCAGTGTCATGTCAGCAACTGAGGTTACATAACCGTGCTGTTTTAAAGGACATGTAGTTGGAAAAGAAGGCAGTAAAGTTTGACTAAAAAACAAAACATCTGTATAACTGGGAGGTAGACAATTAAAAATATGCAAAACTACAAATTTCCATGTGCCTGAGAGGCAAAAAGTTAACAAAAGCTACATTCTAGATAGGGAAATGGTTTAACATCCAGTCAAGCAGAACCTGGTTTAGTCATTTATGATGCACCCAAACTGTGTTGACTCTGTGTAGAGACCAAATACGACGTGGAGGTGCGGATTTGTAGGCATCAACAACTGTAGTATTTTTTGACTCACCCTTAAATTCCCAAGGACATAAGCAGATAACAACGGCATAGGTCTACTAGAAAGAATGTAAACAATCTGACGAATCTGATCTCCAACTTCTCACCACCACTTTTTTTTCTTTACTGTTTTTTTAGTCACAAACCCACAATGGTCTCACTTCTGACTTCAGTAGAAACCTGGCCTTCTAATTTCGGGTGGCAGCTGCAAAACAAACTGTTTAAAAGCCCACAGATGATCAGCTATATGACAGACAGACCAGTCGTTTATCTCCAGTATTTTGGATTAAAACATTTCAAATTCTCTAACTTTTTAATTTGCTGATATTACAAAGTGCTTTATTTTTATGATTTACAACAATCTGATTGTTATATTGGTAAACCTCCTGAAAACTTCACATTTAAATCTGTTAAACTTCCAATAACCTTTTTAAAGTATTCAGGGTCACAGACGGCTGTCGACGTAATCACTGGTCAAATAAGAGACCTGACTGAGGTGTTTCCACCTCAGTCCACTATCATTTGTTTGGGAAAGGGGAGTGGAGCTAAGTGTTGGCTGACAATAAACATGGCAGCTTCTCATTCACATAGTATGGGATCTCAAAGCTGCAGAATGTCAGAAAAAGCTGTGTATTATTTGGAATATTACGTTATTCCAAAAATGTGCCTGACAATGATGATTAATGGTCTTATTAAGACACCGAAATAAATTAATAAAAATCTTTCTTAAAAATATGCAAACACGTATTTATCTATACATCGACACAAAGGCCTTAAAACTCCCACAGCAGGTCGACACCAAACACACTCTGCCGCTGGCGGCGTTCCGTCTCTAAGTGGCATCAGTCATACGTGAGACGTCAACTTACGTCGTATCTGGCGTTGTACATCTTCCTGAAAACCTCCAGGGACGATGCTTCGTCTCTATTTTATCTTGTCCCCAATGTTGGCGCACAATTTATCGCAGTAGATGAATGACTGTGTTCTAAAATCCTAAAGTTTCACTGTCACTTCCTGGGTCGTCGTTGGCCGAGAGTTCCTACACCTGGAAGCGGCCTCTCCCTCACACACACTCAGTCACGCACCTATGACAGAAGCCACGCCCACGAAATCTGCTGCAAATCCAGGACAAACGGAAATCTGTTTAAATTCTCCTCCAGGTCACTGCCACCTAATTCTTTATTTTTCGTTGTCGTTGTCGGTAACAGTATTTATTAATATATCGATATGAATTTAATATTTTCGAAAAAAAAATTAAACAAAATCATAATGAAACGTTTTCTTATGTGCTTTTGAAATTCTGAAACGTTGAAAATGAACAAAGTTCACCCATATCGACACTAGATGGTGCTCAGTCCTACACACTGTACTTTCGCAATTAAAGCGTCATTATTTGTGTAAGCAGCAAAGTTGTAAAATTTCTAAAACTTTATTAGGTTAGACAATTGTGGTGGTGTGTTTTGTATATTTTTGTGATATTATTATTATTATTAGTAGTAGTATTATCACAGTTAGTGGTTAAGGAACCTCTACTTATATCTAACCTCAATCCACGTTTCCTGTACTGTGACATCAACTATGCAGTGCATTGCTAAGTTCTCTTTCTTTAAAGAAAATCTTTGTACAGTTAAATTCTCCCACCCCCAGTTTCCTGTCTCCTAACCATAAAATACAACATATAAAACGTGTTTTGTTCTAACTAAACAGGTAATATATTTTTTGTCATCAGGAATCAGCCTTATACTTCATAGAACATCAGTCAGCACATTTTTAAAATAAAAGTATTCTTAAAACTTTAATAGTCAGCTTAATGCCACAATAACGGCAGTATCAGCAAAAACATCAACTGAGCCACAAGGGGGCACAAGAGGACCTGTTTTTCTCTGCAGCATTGTTTGCCTTCTATTTGAGCTCAATGCCCTTAAAAGGAACCATAGTGATATTGAATTTTTTTTTAAAAACTGTTCTTGTCTTACTCTGCTCATTTCTGCTTAACTTAATTTTGTAATGTCGAACTTTGCTTATCCCAGCAAAAAAAGAACTGCAGATTAAAAAGAGTTGTGAATAAATGCAGGGAACGTGGAAACCTTAGAAATATCCCACAAACTAAAGCGAGATTGTTGTGTATGGCTGGGCATTTTAAGCTCTTTTTAGAGAAAATATTTTCACGTACACTTTAATTATTATTTTTTTAATTATGTGAAAACAACGTGGGACACTAAGTCACAAAATTATATACATTTTTGATTGTTTGTGTTGTGTCCATCTTTATTCACTTTTATTTGTGTAATAATACCAGCTATTTTCAAACATCCCAGGTTTTCAGCGCTAATGTGCGGTTTGATACAGTGTAATGTGAACACTGTGTTCTATACGTTCAATTAAAGGGAAAAAAATCTGCATACAGCCGTTGGAAATTCAAAGGTAACGTTACCTAAATTTTCGGGGCGACTTAAAAACCCAAGACTGTGTTTTTCTCTGCGTATTTTAATCTGCCGCAGAAACTAACCTGCACTGTCGCTCTCTTACCACCAGATGTCTCTGTAATACAAAGACTCGGCCAGGGCAGTGGGAGAAGCCCGTGATAAATACCCGCAGAGACAGGGCTTGGTTCTATCAGGCTTCATCCACATTAAATCCCTGCTGGTGAGAGCGAGCAGGACGCAGAGACAGGAGATCAGGCAGGAGACCTGCACTGTCCATCACTTCATCTGATGTAACCAGAGCGAGTCTACACGAGACACTTCTTTCGAATTAAGCAGCTTCGTTATTACGAAAAGAGAGAAGAGGCGAGAAAATGGGACACACCGCATTACCTTTACTGGTGGCAGTATTGTCCTACTGCGTGTGGGAAAGCAGCGAGGTAAGAGCAAAAAACAAGCTGAACCAGATGGAAAATTGCGCATTGTACGTGTTGTCTTTGTTCAATGTCGATAGGAAAATTGCTTATATGCTGCGTTTTTTTAAAACATTCAGTTTTATTAGTCCACACGTCTACAGTGGCTCCCCGTGTCTTTATTGCTGACACCCACCCTCTTCATTCAGAGCAGGTTTAATTTGCAAATGCATCCTCCAGCGCCGTCACACGTCAAGAAGAGTGGTGGCACACACTCAAACGCTGCGGCGCTGAGAGGCTTTAAAATGAACACAATGCAGGGACATAAAAAAAACCCACGGACCACACTTGAAATTTATAGCATTTAAAGGTTATCATATACATTTTTGCGTTGTTTGACGTTTGGCTCTGTGCGTCACGTCCGGGCCTGTGTCTGAGATGATACATGGCGGTACAGGCCCTTGGGGTCTGTGTAAGGAATAGGGATCAAATCCCATGTCTCCTCGGACCATCTGGTCCTGTGATCGGAGGCTCACAGCAGCAGCTCACACTAGTCCTGTCAGGAACAAGGATGGAGTCACGGCTGTTTAGTTGACACTTCTTTGTCACATACGGCTTTTATGAATCAATTAAAATAGAGAAAACTATCATTCAAATAGTACAGGGACAGGACTGAAGGCCAGAGTCGTGCGTAACAACATGATCGTACTCTAACCATCACCTATAGGTGATGACTGATCTATTATGGGATGCGGAGTGTGACCAGAACACCACGTAGGTTCTGTGGCGTCTCTACAGAGAGACCTGTGCTTGAATAGTTTTTTTTTTTACTCTTGATGATTTCTCAAACTGCGCAGCATTTTATATTTTGATTTCTAACTACAGCAAATGTCAGGCGTCCAACATGTAGACCTCCAGACAGTGGAATTGAACCCACTATTCTACCCACTGATCCACAGCTACCCCTTTCTTGTGCACATCAATATCAGACCAACAGATTTTGCAAATCTCACTCCAAAAGGTTGTTGTCAAACCTAAAAAAACAACGGTCCACCGTATGATGCTGCTCAGCTGAATCTGCCCTGTCTCTGCCTCACTTACATAAATTATTTTAATCTGCGTCTGGCTGAAACAACGGTGAAATAAAAAAATTAAAATATTGTGAGACGGATGAGAGGGGCTGCCATCTGCTCCTGCATCCCTTCTTCCTCATCACGACCTGAATCACTCCCACACTTCAACACACTCAACCTCCGTTTCTCTATTGACTATTATGAATGTGTGGCACAAAATCAAGTTTGGGCATGCATGCACTTGTGCGTGGAAGCCGAGTGGCGTTAGAAGTTTGTGTGAACGTGAGGAGGAGGGCAGGAAGAGGCGGGAGGAGGAGGAGGAGGAGGAGAAGAAGACGAATGAGTCATGATGACCCAGCTGGAACTGGGACAACTCAAACGCACTTTCCCACCTGGAAATGAGAGAAGGAACAAAACCAGGCCGTGGTATCTGAGGAGTATTAGTCCCGTTGGTGCAGTATTCCCCAAAAACTTCCTAAGAGGATTTGGGAGATGTTCATTTACCATCCATCATTTTCAGGGATGCTGCAAACGTAACAAAGCCTGTCTTTTCATTTTGAAATAATTTACGTGCTCTAAGAGTCTTAGAAGGATTACTGCTGTGCTGAGAAAAAAAAGGCTTTAGCTTTATACAAGGAGACCTGTCCATGAAGGTTTACACTGCAGATTAGACTGTGAGAGGTTTTCTGGCTGGATTACACTGTGGTATTAGTCCTAATGAAACTGTCAGCTTCCCTTAATTTACTCAGTATCCACTCTTTGAAATTGGTGACATGGGCCAATATTTTTTGACCATCCCCTTGCTGTGTGTGTATTATTATTATTATTATTATTATTATTATTATTATTGTGGTGCAATAACTTTGCATCATTTTAGGATTTTAAACAGGATTCAAATTTAAAGTCAAATCAATTTGAAACCCTGTGTTGGAGTCAGTCTACATCAGTCTATGTGTGGTCCATCAACTTCTCTGAGTCTTATCAGCTGCAGCAGCACTTACTGTTCACAGCAGCCGATGCATTTAGGTATTGACTGTTCTCATCTTCACTCTCCAAATCGTGTACGTCAGTAGCATCAGGGCTTGAAGTTGAGTTGGCTGAGTTTGGACTAAACGTCCACTCCATTTGCTACTAACTGATGACATGGACGTGTGAGAAGGGCTGCAGAAAATGATTCTGACGTAAAAGATCAGTCACTAAGAGACCATAGAAAAAAACCACCTTGAACTGAGTTTCCTGATTAGAGTTTACATTTAATAAATAAAGGGCAGGATGTGAGTGTTTTGGTGGATTTTTTATTTTTTATTTTTTTTTGGCTGTTTTTGTATCACCTGAGCCATTATGGAATGCAAAAAGATTTTGGGCTGAACTAGCTTTTGGCATAGGCCACATAGATGATCACCAAGAGCGCCATCTGTTGGAAGGTGGGGAATGCAGTAGGGGGCAATAAGATGGAGGCAGTCAAACAACAATATCACCTTTAAACAAAAAAGCAAGAGCCGACTCTGGTTTTCTGGACACGGTGGGTAAACGGTCAGTGCTCTTGCCTCGCAGCAGGAAGATTCAGGTTCAATACCTATTGATAATTTATGGTCCTCATGTACGCAGTGTCCATGGTTCTGTCCCCTGAACTACATCGCTTTTTAACGTAAGTACACAGTTTAACTTTTATCGCAGTACAAAAACAACTAGGATTAGGTTTGATGCAAAATTTCAATTAGAAAATATACAATTCCACTGTTGAGATTTGATATTTCTGTCACGTTGATATTGCTATTTTAGTTTTGAAAGTGGAAGAACTGAGCAAATGTTGCCTACCAGGAAAAACAAGGTGGACTGCAGTGAGCTTCTATTTTATTACATACAGGAGAAAGTAGTGTATGGTCTAACTCAGGCAGGTCTGTGTTTATAAAGATGAATGTCTACTGTGTGAACCACAGCGGCTGCAGATTAAGAACAGCAAGGCAGACTCAGAGACATGTGCGCCATCTGCCTCATGTACAGACCTCAGGAAACACCTGTGAAAGGGGTGGAAAGAGGAAGACGGTTGGAGGGGAAAGAGCACAAATACTGCAGTACAACTGAGTACAACAAGAAATGAAATTAAAATAGGAGGTCGTCAACATATTGAGAAACACAGTCACCACCACCAGAAACAGCCGGAGAGATTTATGCACCTCCTACGTCTGCCTTCCATTGCGGTAGAACAACAGATTCTTCTTCCCTCCTTCTCTCCCTCCCGTCTTTCTGTCATACACTCGATTAATTTTAGAGCCAAGAGATAATCAGGTTCCACTAATGGATTCCCGCGTGCTCACTGCTCTCTACAACATCTGTGTGCCAGTGGGCATAAAACGCAGTATTTTATCCTATGACATGTTGTTCCTGATCTCTGTATCTGCCTTCCTGCCTTGCACACCCACACACACACACAGACACACACACGGGGTGTAGATTGAATCCTGCAGAGTCATTGTTAAATGAGTACATGAGTACACTGAACCAAAGGAAATGAACACCTCGTTTTTGAGTTGACTACAACATAAAAGACGGCGCTGCACCGGACTTGGAGCCGTGGTTGATGGAGATTATTTAAAAATTCTGTGCGCAGTGAGATTGTAGGAAAATGTAGTGGTTCAGTTCATTCTACTTGACTTTGGGGAATAAATTCTCCCCGCGATTGATTCAGAAAACCTCGGTCAAATCCTGGTTTCACCCACTGACCTAGCAGATTTATCTTCCAATCATTCCATTTCATTATCTCTTCACCGCTCTACATAAACCAATGCATTTAATTACGTCCACAAAAGTGCACAGCGCTCTCTATAGGTTCCACATATTTAGGGATTCATATTTAAATGTGTTTGGACGATATCTGATGGTAAAGTTATCACTAATCATCTTCTTGATCTGTGAGGGTTTTCTGTCTATGCACATGTAATATTTGTCAGTATGGTACTCTACTACTCATGTTGTTCTTCTTCTCATCTTTGTTACCCATAATACACCAGGAGGAACTTGAAATCGTTTGTCGAAGGTGTACCAGATACCAGAAACAGTTACTGTATACTATAGACTAGCCAGTGACCTGGTGGTTAATGACCAGGTTGTAATCAGAGCGTTGCTGGGTCAAATCACGACCCTGGTTGGACAGTGGTGTGTTGAGCAGGCAGTTCTTCCTTTCTTCTCTAAAGAGTAATTCAATAGGTTAAATACAGGGAGTATTTCCCTCAGGGCATTAATAGAGTACTGAAAAAGGCACACATTTTCGAGGCAGGTATATCTTTGCAAGCTAAGTCTCCTATCTATTGATGGCTGTTTTTAATGTTGTGCTGAAGAAATCTTTTTTTTTTTTGGTTCATACTTTTACCAACTCTTTCTAGATTATTTATCTTACCAGCTTAAAATTTGTTCGCGTACGTTCAGTACTAGATCTTCCACATTCACATCCTGCTTCATTTCCCTTATAATTTTTGTTCTTTAGTAAATAGTGACCCCGCCCTTCAGGATGACTGATCCATGGTTATATGGACACTGTCGCACAGCTGCTGTCACGATCACGTCTTCTGTTTCCTGAACACTGGAGAACCAGGACTTGAGCCACCGTTGTACTGCCAGCTGTTTGATTCTGCCACAAACAAGACAATAAGAGGAACTCTGCTAAGAACCCTTCTGCACTGCCGTGATAACACTTGTCTGTGTGCAGGAGTGGAGAGAAAGACGAAGTGAAGCCACAGAGATTGCGGTCTGGGGTTTTTCTCCCACAGGGTGGATAATTTTAGGCATTAGGGCAAAGCAGGAGGAGAGAGATACAGATGTGAGATTGCTGCTGTGCCTGTAGAATGTTGTGTTGTGTTACAGGAAAGGGTGTGTAACAGCGGAAGGGTTCAGCCTTATTGCTCCTTTTCCTATTGCATCAGGGGAAGCGCAGAGATTCGTCTCTGTCATGTACAT